GGCTACCTGATGCGTGATATCACAACAGATTAAATGTGGAAACATGAAAATCCAGCTGTCTTTCATTAAGCCAGATATTAAAGGGATTCCAAAAGAATGTAAAGCAAAGCCACTCTTCTCATTCAATTATTTTTGTTTGGAAAAATGCAGTTATTTTTCATTTAAAAATGTTATGTATTTTAACAAGTAATGGGCTTATTATTATCTTAAATGAATTAACAAAATACTTAAACATTTCACGATTTTATATTTCTAGTCTGGTAAATGTCAATAGATAGATATAACCTATATAAACAAAAATTCTTTAGGGTCCTCAATACTTTAAGAATGTAAAGGGGTCTTCAGATGAAAATATTTGCGAATCACTGCTCTAAGTAAAGAGGGGGCTGGGGGGAGAGCATGCTGGGGTTGTGAAATGGCACAGGGAAGAGATGACATTTGAGTAGAGTTTGGAAGAACATGTAGTGGATAAAGCAAGAAAGAGTCCCGAAATCCTAAGCAGTTTGGTGTTGCTGGAGTGTGAAGTGTAAGAGGCAAGGTGATGGGAGATGAGGCCAGGGAGAAGATACGCCATTTCAGGAAGAGACTCCAATGCTGTGCTAAGGAGCTTGGGCTTTATATTCTGTAAGTGCTAGAGGGCTGGCACAGGGTTTTAAGCAATGGGAGGTTTGAGTTAGACCATTTGGAGGCTATTGCAATAGCCTTGAAACAAGGGCAGACTTTTGGATGCGTGGACAGAAGAATTTAGGAAGTAGAATCAAATTAGTAGACCTTGGTCATTAGATCTGGGAGCCTGGGGGAAGAGGAGAATAAATTGTGTCCCTATTTTCTGGTTGAGATGCTCGTGGTAGCACCAACCAAAAAAAACTAATACAGGCAGAAAAGCAGATTTTCTGGGAAAATGATGATTTCTTTTTTGGACATGTCAGGTTTGAAGTGCCTGTGGGGTGGAAGTGTCCCAATCACCAGTTCCATATATTGGCTAGAGCTAAGCAGCAACGTCTGGGCTGGAGACACAGACCGGGGCGTGATCGGCATATAGACAGTAATTGAAGCTATTAGGGGGGTGTGATCACCCAGGGAAACACAATGAGAAGGGACCATGGGGAAGGAGAAGAGGGCAGTATAGCATAGTTGCTTAGAGCCTGTGCTTTGGAATCAGCCAGACTTGGGGTGCCATTCTAGCTTTGCCTTTCGTGATATGTGTGATTTTGGACACATGGCCTAATCTTTCTATTTCTCAGTTTTCTCATTTGTAAAATGAGGTAATAACAATACCTCTTAGCGGTCAAGTGTGCGCGCTCCACTACCGGCAGCCCCGGTTCGGATCCCAGGCACGCACCAACGCACCGCTTGTCGGGCCATGCTAAGGCGGGGTCCCACGTACAGCAATTAGAAGGATGTGCAACTATAACATACAACTATCTACTGGGGCTTTGGGGAGAAAAAGGAGGAGGATTGGCAATAGATGTTAGCTCAGAGCCGGTCTTCCTCAGCAAAAAGAGGAGGATTGGCATGGATGTTAGCTCAGGGCTGATCTTCCTCACAAAAAAAAAAAAAAGTCTTAAAAAAAAAATAACAATACCTACAGCACAGGGTTGTTGGGAAGATCCAAGATGTCACATTCCCGTAAAACGCTTAACTCAATGCCTGGTACCTGGTAACACCCCATAAATATTAACTTCTATTATTATTAGCATCATGGAAACCCTAAGAAGATGGGAATCGTCCCAGTGTGAAATGCTGTGCAGTTCAAGTAATATAAAGACTGAGGAGCGTCCTTGGATTTTGAAAATGAGCAGGTCATGGTGAGCTTTCTAGTGTAATTTTTCAATATATATAATTTCTAGTATAATTTCAGTCAAGTAGTGAGGACAAAAACTAGATTACAGGGGTTCAAGGAATGTGTGCATGCAGGAAGTAAGGAAGTAGAGACTGATCATTTCCCAGACCTTTGGTTTTCATGAACCATTGAAATTATCACACACAAAAAAATGGTGGCATTGGGAGGGTGGAAAGCTGATATAGGATTGAAAGGCACATTTTTAACACCAAAAACGATAGAAGAAGATAATCCCAGAATAATAGGCAGTCCTTTAAATTGAGCAAATGTAGCTTTATAAGAAATACTATATTTTCCAAATATTTCTAATTTTGCTATAGATGAATGAAAACTTCTTCATGCAACGACGCTGACATATGGAGACCATTGAGATAGACTTCTTCATTTGTTCAGCAATCATTCAGCACGTATTTATCGAGCCAGGCCCTATGCTAAGTGCTGGGGATATACTATTGAAGAAAAAGGATATGGACCCAGCCCTCACGGAGCTTATAGACTAGTTATAGACTAGTTGTGTGTGTGGGAGAGGTCATTCAACAAATAATCATCAAATATATATTTAGGAGTTGTAACAAATAGTATGAAGGAAAAATACAGCATGTTAAGAGAACTTATAACAAGGGTATCTGACCTAATATGGGAGTCATGGCAGATTTCCCTAAGAAAGAGATATGCAAGCTGAGATCTGAAAAATCAGTAGACATGAAATACATGATAAGGGTAGGCAGGGTAGCATATTCCAAGAACGTGTGAAGCCTATGGGTATTCAAGAACATGGGCAGTATCTAAGACTAAAAAGCCAACCCTGCAGAGCAAGAGAGAGCATGGTGCAAGATGAGGTCGACAAGGTAGGATGATGCCAGATCAGGAGCTGGTAGAACATGATATGGATTTTAACTTTGATTCTAAGAACAATAGACACCATTGGAGGATTTTCAGGACAGTGATATTATAATATTTATATTTTTGAAAAATTATTCCTGGCCTTTGTATGAAGAGTGGACAGAGAGGGGAGAAATAGAGGCTAGGAGATATCTTAGGAGCCTTCAGAAGTAGTTTAGGCAAGAGATGGAGGTGCCTTAGACCAGAGTGGTAGTAGAAGAGATGGAGAGAAGTGGATACATTTTTTTTTTTTTGTAAGGAAGATCAGCCCTGAGCTAACATCCATGCTAATCCTCCTCTTTTTGCTGAGGAAGACCGGCTCTGAGCTAACATCTATTGCCAATCCTCCTCCTTTTTTTTCCCTCAAAGCCCCAGTAGATAGTTGTATGTCATAGTTGCACATCCTTCTACTTGCTGTATGTGGGACGTGGCCTCAGCATGGCCAGAAAGGCGGTGCGTGGGTGCGCGCCCAGGATCCGAACCCCGGCCGCCAGTAGCAGAGCACGCGCACTTAACCGCTAAGCCATGGGGCCGGCCCCAGAGAAGTAGATACATTTGAGAGACATTTAGAAGGAAGACTGAAAAGTCCTTGGCCAGGAATCTCAGATGGACACCTGGATGGATGGTGGTTCCATTTATTGAGAGAGACAAATTTGATAAGGAAATCATACATTCAGAAATGCGAGGAATTTCATTATATTTTGATTTCTGTGTAGATTATTTACTCTTACTTTATGGTCTCATCCAGTATCACGGCTTTGAATATACCTATATGCTGACAATTCCCAAATTTATATCTCCTTCTCTCCAGAACTCCAGGCTAATATGTCCAACTTGCTATTTGAATCTAATTTGGTTGTCTAATCGACATCTACCTCAACACATCCAAAACTGAATTCCTACTCTTATCCCTCAAACCTGTTCCTCTCACAGCCTTCCCCATCTCGGTCGATGGCAACGCCATCTTCCACTTGCTTTGACCTAAAGCCTCGAAGACATCTTGACTCCTCTCTTTCTTTCACATCCCAGATTTTGTTGACTATACCTTCAAAACACATCCAGAACCTGACCACATCACATTACCCCTACTGCTGTCACTCTAGTCCAAACCACCATCGTTTTTCTTCTAGGTTTCTCCAAGAGCTTCCTAAACAGCTCTCCTTACCAGTATCTGTGTCCCCTCCCAGTCTAGAGTGATCCTTCTGACACACAAGTCAGATTATGTCCCTCCTCTGCTTGAAACCAGTAACGGTTCCCCATTTCAGTCGGTAAATGAGGAAGTCCACAGTGGTGTACAAAGCCTTACATGATCCAGTTCCTCTTCCCTGGACATTGCTAACTCCTTCACCTTAAAGTCCTTGCTCTAATGTCAACTTCTCCCATGAAGCCCACACTGAACATTCTATTTTAAATTGCAGTCTGGCCCTCTGCCCACGATCTGATCCCTGTTACCTTGTTCTACTTTTATTTTTTCATAATACTAATCACTATCATACTATATACTGTAATTATTATATCTATTTTTTAGGGTCTAATATCCACCTTCACCACCACCCCAGCAAAATGTACCTTCCATAAGGACAAGAAGGTTTATCTGTTTTGTTCCCTGATGTAGTCTCATGTATGCCCAGGACAGTATCTGGCATAAAGTAGGCGCTAAATAAATATTTGAATGAACATATCGACAGAAGGAAAGAAGCCAGAAAAATGGGGAGGTTGAAGCTGTGAAAGGGGTAATTAATATAGCAAGATATCCAAAATACAGATGGGTACGGGATCAAGCGCACATCTAGGGAATTATCTCTGGTGCTAGAATGCAACTTCTCAATTATATCACATCCTAATGAAACCGTTTAAAGCTCTTTCTCCCTCGGCCCCCCACACCGTGTTCTTTGGGGGACCCTACACAGCACAGAACGTTTTAATCATTTCTGAACCTCTAGTGTCCACGAAGTCCCTGCCACATACTAAGTGCTCAAACGAGGTTATTGGCTAAGTTAACAAACCAATGTTTCTGTGTGCCCAACTACTTTCGAGCTCGTAAAGAGGAGACGGGCCCTCATTCACTTCTGCAGCCCCCAACCCCTCGACCTCCCACTTCGCAGCGACACCACAAGCCGACGTCCAGGACTTACTACGTAATAAAACAGCGACCTGGGGGACGAGGCGTGTCGAGCGAACCCCGAGGCACGTGACGAGAGTGGGCGGTGCGTCAAAGTTCATATCCCAGTGTCCTTTGTTGCTACTTCCTTTCTGTCCCCTTCCGGCCTTCAAGATGTCCAAGAGAGGTGAGTTTTTCGCTCTGGGGGATCCTTTGCCATCTGTCGCGAGGTGGCTGCTGGCCTCGCCGGGAGTGGCCGCCATAGGCAGCTGGGGCGCTTTGCTCTCCTCCGGGCCGGAGAGGGAGAGGAGGGGCACCGCGAGAACACTGGAAGGGCCGCCGAAAGTGGCGAGGGCAGGCCTACAGAGTTGGGCTGGCGGGATCCGGACATGATTCTAGACCGAACTCCGCGGGATCGCTCCGCGCCCAGCGCTGCAGTAATGGGGTTGCAGTTGGACTGGCTTAGGCCGCAGAGTGGGAGACTTGTGCGGTCTGCCGCCTTAGAGGAAGAGCTACCTGGTGCACGAGTTGGAGCGAGGATTGAGTCGTCCAGGCCCCTTAATCTCAACGTAGGGGTGGTAATAGTGAGGAATTGGCTCTTTGCCGTGAGAGCTGGGTGGCACATGGGAAGGGAGTAAGTGGAGTTCTAGAGATAGCGAATCTATAGTGTACCGTTTCCTAAAGCATATGTGAATAAAGCTGTGTCCAGCTTGAGAAGGTGAAGGGAACTCCGAAACATGACTTAACCTGTGTGACCTCTCCTGTTTCTCTTCCTACCCACAGGACGTGGTGGGTCCTCCGGTGCGAAATTCCGGATTTCTTTGGGTCTTCCGGTAGGAGCCGTGATCAACTGTGCTGACAACACAGGTGAGACCTGCGGCTACACCCCGCCAAACTCCCCCTTTTAAAAGCACTCAGTGGGCCTTTTGCTAATGACCCACTGAGCCGTCAAGAAAGGGCAGAGTGAAAACACCGCTTTTGGGTGAAGCGGCAGCATGTTGTGTTGTTTCGCTTCAATCGGTGGTGTGACAGGGTGTTCTCCCTCGGGACTGTTCTCCCTCGGGACTCGCTGCTTGGGAGTGTGAGTGGAGTGGCTCTGGAAGTGTTGGGGAAATATTACACCGAACCGAACAGAACTGCCTAACAGGCTGTCAAAAAGATTCGTTTTTGTTTACATCCTTTTATAGGAGCCAAAAATCTGTATATCATCTCTGTGAAGGGGATCAAGGGACGACTGAACAGACTTCCTGCTGCTGGTGTGGGTGACATGGTGATGGCCACAGTCAAGAAAGGCAAACCAGAGCTCAGAAAGAAGGGTGAGTAGAGAGACAGAGTTTTCCTTATCGTCTGGTGGAGAGTTGAAGGGCTGCTCACTTTGTTGAAAAATGGAACAATAATTTTACCATTGTCACGGCCTGTTGAAGCCTGTTTCCTTGGGGAGGCACTGTGAGATAAATATCTGCAATTTAAGTTCTGCTCTTGCTGTCTTAGAGATCATTTTCTTCTCTGTCTGATCTTACTGTATTTGTCTTGCTCTCTTACTCTTTAAATGTATTTGCCACATTGAAGCCAGGGCCCATCTTTTAAAAATGTGAATCTTGTCACTTGCCTACTTAAGTTCTTCACTGGCTTCCAGTGTAAGCGGGGGGCTTTGTATGTTACCCTGCCATTTCCCCAGCAAGTGCAGCAGCTAGTTATAGACCACCTCACGTGCCTATAGAAACAAAAGCCCTGTCCTGGAATTTATAGTCCACCCTAACGGTGCCTGCCCCAGCTGTCTATTCCTTTCAGTTCTTGGTTTCTCGCTCTGACCTATACCCCTTCCTTTGTGCCTCAGATCCTTTGTACTTGCTGTGCCACTTGCCTGGAATGCTCTGATCCAGTCATCTTCAGCTCACTTCCTTGTTGACACCGCCCCCCCCCACCAAAAAAAAAAAAAAACCTTGATGTCGGTGGTAATTTTTGTGTGCGAGACATTTAGTTAAGTCCCGTAAGTTAAGTTCTAGTTAAGTTCCATCAGAGCAGGTACCTGTCTTTAGTTCGTTGCCAATTCCTTGGCTACAAATGAACATGGTGGTACTTAGTAAACATATTTTTTGATAGGTGGTTTAGAACTCTACCAGGTGAGATCACAGCTTTAAGACTTATGTCACCAAGTTTTTTTTTCTGGAACTACTAATTTGAAAGGGAATAATGATACTCGAATACTTTTCAAGTGGTTGTGAGATTCAGGTGATGAGCTGAGCATGTAGAGCATCTGGCCTATTAACTAGCGCAGAGTAACAGATGGTGTTTCTCATGCTTTAAGTCAGATTCTTTTTACAGATGAGATTAATTCAAGATTGTGACTTGTCAGAAGTTTGGCAGAGTTGCTTCTAAATCTCTCTGTTTTGTTTTGTTTTGTTTTGTTTTTGGTGAGGAAGATTAGCCCTGAGCTAACATCCGTTGCCAATCCTCCTCTTTTTGCTGAGGAAGATTGGCCCTGGGCTAACATCTGTGCCTATCTTCCTCTACTTTATATGGGACGCCGCCACAGCATGGCTTGACAAGCAGTGCGTTGGTCCGCCCCTGGGATCAGAAGCTGTGAACTGCTCCTGGGAGTGGAGTGCGCAAACTTAACAGCCATGCGCCACCGGGCCAGCCCCTAAATCTCTTCTGATAGAATCTAAAACAGGGAGCTGCTCATTACTTAATCATGGGCTACCCCCCAGATGTTTCTCCTCTAGGTATATTAATTAAAAGGGGGGTCTTGGAGCACTTCTGCCTTGTAATGTCCTCTCTGGCTTTAGAGTTTATGATACTCAGTATACTTGAACTTTTCAACTCCTGAACTTATCCCCTGTGCCTGCTTAGTCTTGCTCATCCTGAGAAGTCCTAGCCATGTCTCAATGTATAGTACAAATGTGATGGGTCTCAGCCACATATATCAGTTACTCCTTGTAGCCCTGCATACAGTACCCCCTACCATTCAGTTTTTAGCCTTCTGGTCAGAAGTCTTACTTTGTTCACTTTTAATATCTGCTTGAGGGCTTGGTGGGCAAGGAGTAAGTAGCATTGTGGTTAACCATTGATGAATGAGTATGTGGCTTGGGATCAGCATGCAGTGGACAGGCTTTCCTCTTAGAACACTTGCTGGGTCTGATCTGTGGCCTGGGGAGCTGTCAGGGAAGGGCAGAGCAATCAGCCATTGCTATGGGTGAGATGGCAGCAGGATGTGCTGTTGGTCTCAATCAGTTGTGGGACAGACCAGAGAACACTTCATGGTTTTAAAAATAGTTGTGAATTTCCAACTCCATTAATGTCTTCTTTGTTCCTTGTTGCTGCTAAATGAACACACGCCTTCACCTTAGACTTACGTATAATTTACAGAAATGTGGAAAGGGACAGGACCAGAAATCCAGAGTCCTGAATTTGTGTGGCCTTATTTATCCACTAGATTCATTTGTGAGAATTTAAATAGTTATAAGTAGATGAGGGTCCAACAAAGGAGGCACTCAGTAAATATTAGTTACCTGTCAGTGTGTATCCCATTGTTAAAATCTTGATCAGAAGCTGTCTACGTACATAGGTAGATAATACTTGCCTCAAGGATAGCCAGGATCCCTGTCCTTATAAAAATCCTGTATTTCCATGGTTTGATCTTGAATGTAGAAATGTAACTATTATCCCTATTTTACAAGAGGAAAACTTGAACTCCAGAAGATTAAGTAACTTGTTCAAGGTCTCCAGGTTAGTATTAGTCAAGATTTGAATCCAAGAATGTCTGACTCGAGTTCTTTCAAGTGCAGTAGATGCTTTGTTTTGAAAGTCTGGGAAAGTGTTCCCTTTAGTGCAGGTAGGCTTTAAAAAATTACTTATGACCCTAGAAAACGGTTCCTCAAAAAATTAAATGTGGCAGTTAATTACTCAAGAAGTACAAGTTGAATTTCAGTTACCCGGTTCTTAGACCTCCAGAGGATGATCATTGTTAATGTTTTGTTGTATGTCCTTTTTTCCTGGTTTCTATGCAAAAAATTAGCTTGTAAACTGCTATGTAATGGGACCATAAAAAATTACAGATATACATAATCATTTTAAATGATTCTATTCTGTGCATGTGCCATGAGATACTTAGGTTAATTCCAAGTTTTTGCTCTGTTAAAACAACACATGCCCTGCAGTTAGAAAGGCGTTTGAGATAAGGTAGAGTGTATGGTCAAGATCCTGGACACACTCATTAAGTTTAAGGAGTGTGTGTACATATGCTCACTAGCAATTACAAGTTTTCTTTGGGTAAATTGGTGTGTAAATGAGTTTATATTTGTAAAACCTAATACGTGGTACACATTTAATTCCAGCAAATTCTTGGAAGCAGTAATTTTTAGATCGAGGTGTGTACTTTTCTTGGAGATTTTGATATATACTGGCATGGAATGTTGCTTAATGAGGAGTTAATGCTTGGCCTCTTCACTCATTCAGTCTGAGGGGCATCCCATTCCCAATTCTGTGATTAGGATCTTAACAATACCTATCTGTTGGGTCAAGTGGGGAAAAGTATAGAAAGTGCTTAGCAAGTTTCCTGCTGGTGTGTTGCTAATTGTCCTCCCAGAAGAGGGTACAGATTTACACTTGGAAGAAAGTGGAGGCAGTTTTGACTTGAAGTGAGTAAGGTCTTTCCTTAAGGGGTGATTGGTGTTTGCACTGTCTCTCACACTTGCTTTTAGGAAATGAAAAACTAATGATGAGTACACATTATATCCAAAGGGGAGATGTTGGGGAGCTAGACGAGGTGTAAACTGCTTTCCCTTGGTGGCACTGGGACTTGACAGGTTAATGATTTCTGTTTCTGTTCTTTTTTCCTTCTTAGTACATCCAGCAGTGGTAATTCGACAACGAAAGTCATACCGGAGAAAAGATGGTGTGTTTCTTTATTTTGAAGATAACGCAGGGGTCATAGTAAATAATAAAGGCGAGATGAAAGGTAAGAAAGAATCCTTGTCATTCTTTAAGTCTTTGAGATTGGATAATTTAACTCTTGGGTCTAGGAGTACAAGCAGAGGACCCTCTGATCTTATCTGTCACTTCATTCTTTTTTTCATGCAGGTTCTGCCATCACAGGACCAGTTGCAAAGGAGTGTGCAGACTTGTGGCCCAGGATTGCATCCAATGCTGGCAGCATTGCATGATTCTTCCGTGTATTGTAAAGAAAAAAACAAACAAAACATTAAAAATTATTTGCTCCCAGTGCTTGCCTTCCTTTTCATTTCTACATGTCACTCTTATTGGCACTGCCTAACCCTTGTCTCCTTTGTAAAATGAAACTGAGTACTCAGTGCAAACTTTCTGGGGGCGTATGTAAAAAAAGAAACAGTCCTTTCACTTTTGTGATTGTACAGAACTTTTGGGACTTTCAGATTTCTGCTGTAAAAACTTGGGTTAGGAATCCTTAAAGTACATTGCAGAGAATAGGTGCTGCTTAATGACAGGTTGTTCCGGGTAACTTCCGTGCAGTTAGAAAGGTATTTGAGTTAAGGTAGAATGTATGGTCAGATCCTGGACACACTCATGGAGTTCAAAGAGTGATGTGAGGGAGAACCAGGTCCACACATGTATATGTGCACACTTTTGCAGTTACACATTTTCTTTGAGTAAATTGCCATGTAAATGATTTATATTTGTAAAATCTAATACATGGTAATTGCCATGTGAATTTGCTCTCATGGAAGATGACTAAGTTGTTAATAGTATGCAGGTTTTTTGCTATTGAAATGTTTTGACAGGATGGCCATGTAATGTATCTGCCAAACCCTAGTTTGAGAAGAAGAGATGGTATAATTATGCCAGCACAATAGGCATAAACCCTGGCAAATTCTGACTGAAGGCATTGAACGTTGCAGCTTTTCTCTCCAAACCATGAGAGTTAATTTAGGTGACATTCAGGGTCTGGGGAAAATGAGCACTCAACTGGTTTGGGTCAATAGTCTGGTCTAAAGATGTTAGAACAGGCTTTTTAGACTAAAGTGTGTGTTCCTATGTCTAGTATCTGAAAATACTTGGCCTTAAGTGTTATCTGTAAGTTGAGTATAATGCAAGGCTGAAGATTAGAATGTCGTGAAGACCCTAACACATAGTCACTTGGCCCTCAAGATTAGGAATGGAATGTACTGGAACTAGAGAGCAGAGTGATTTTCAACTTGAGGAGTTAAAAATGTGTCCAGTCTGTTGTTGGTGCCTCAAGTCAATTCTGACTCCTAGTGAACACGCGTACAGCAGAGTTGGACCCTGCGTGGTCTTTTTGCACTGTTCTCGCACTTTCTGGCGCTGTATCATAGGGTTTTCATGGCCAATTTTTGCAGAAGTGGGTGGCCAGGTCCTTCCTGTCTTAGTCCGCAACCTCTGCTGAAACCTGTCTGCAGTGGGTGACCCTGCTGGTATTTGAAATACCAGTGGCATAACTTTCAGCATCACAGCAACATGCAGCTGCCACAGAATGACAGCTGACAGGAGGGTTCCTTGACCCGGAAAGGAACCTGGGTTGCAGTGCTGAGCGTGCCAAATCTTAACCACTAGACCACCAGGGCTGCCTGTTCAGGCCATATCTCAGACCAATTGAGTGAGACTATGGAGGCAGGACCCAGGCATGTGTACTTTTTAAAGCGCCGCAGGAGATTCCAAGGTTGAGAATCAGTGCTTTGTCTAGACAACCAGCCTGGATTTTAAGAGTATTAAATCCAGAAGTCTCTAAAACAGACCTGTCTTACTGTACCCCACCCTCTAGCCTGGTGAATTGCAAGTCTTGAGTGTGAAATAACGCCCCCAGTTCCTCCATTTAAGATGAATCCTTTTTATCCTGTTATGTGATAAATGTATATGAAATTTCTCACCTTCCTGCTTCAAATATGAGGTGTTAGGGCTGGGCCTGTCATTTTTTCCCCTTGTCCTCTTATGTCCTCCAAGTTCTTTCCAAGTTGCAATAGAATGGACTCAAACTACAGATTTATTTCCTATAATTTCAGATTTGATTTATAGGAGCTTGCCTATCAGTGTAGAAAGATTAAGTATGCTGAGTATTGAATTGCCAGGATGAGTGATTTTTGTGTATAGGTATAATGCAAACTTTTTTTTTTTTTTTTTGTGAGGAGGACCAGCCCTGAGCTAACATCCAATGCCAATCCTCCTCTTTTTGCTGAGGAAGACTGGCCCTGGGCTAACATCCGTGCCCATCTTCCTCTACTTTATATGGGACGCCGCCACAGCATGGCTTAACAAGCGGTGCGTCGGTATGCACCCGGAATCCGAACCGGCGAACCCCAGGCCGCCGCAGTGGAACTGTGCGCACCTAACCGCTTGCGCCACCGGGCTGGCCCCAACCTTTTTCTAATGATACATGTACCACCATATAATAAAAATATATATTTTTTAAAGATTTTATTTATTTTTCCCCCCAAAGCCCCAGTAGATAGTTGTATGTCATAGCTACACATCCTTCTAGTTGCTGTATGTGGGACACGGCCTCAGCATGGCTGGAGAAGCAGTGCGTCGGTGCGCACATGCACTTAGCTGCTAAGCCACAGGGCTGACCCGTATAATAAAAATATTAATAGTGAATATAAAAGAATCCCTTTCCTGAGCCTTTTGCCTCATCTGTAAAATGAAGATAATAGCACCTAGTAGAGTTGGTGTGTATAAAGAAGAAAATGAAAATCAGCTGTAGTCATAATCAGAAAATCATTGTTTGTGGTTTTTTTGTTTTGTTTCTGGTGAAGATGATCAGCCCTGAGCTAACATCAATGCCAATCCTCCTCTTTTTGCTGAGGAAGACTGGCCCTGGGGTAACATCTGTGCCCATCTTCCTCCACTTTATATGGGACGCCGCCACAGCATGGCCTGACAAGCGGTGCATCGGTGCCCACGGAATCCAAACTGGGCGGCAGCAGTGGAGCGTGCGCACTTAACCCTACTCCACGGGGCCAGCCCACATTGTTCATGTTTTGCTGTATCCTAGCATATATACATTAAAATTAGCCAGGGGGGAAAATATAGCAATATTTCAACCTACTATTTTTTTGTTTGGTTTTTAAATTTTTTTAACAGGAGGAGGAATACTAGCTGATGAAAAGATTTGGATGGGGAGCAGAGAAGTGCTTTAAATGGACTTACTGGAAGTCAGGAGACCTGAATTCTGGTTCTGGATCTGCTGCTAAATGGATTTAGGAAATATTCCAATGTTTTTTGTTTTTGTTTTTGAGGAAGATTGGCCCTGCACTAACATCTATTGCCAATCTTCCTCTTTTTCCCTTTTTTTTCCCCAAAGCTCCCGTACACAGTTGTGTAGCATAGTTATAAAGTTGTAGCTCTTCTATATGGGACGTCTCCTCAGCGTGGCTTACTGAGCCGTGACTAAGTCTACGCCCAGGATCCGGACTGGCAAACCCCAAGCTGCCCAAACAGAATGCAGGAACTTAACCACTAGGCCACCAGGCCTGCTTCAGAATGTTTGTGAGCTTCAACTTCCAGTTCTGTTATGAGAGTTGGAAGTAGATGCTATCTGAACTCTTTCTGATTCATTTTGGGTACAAGCTTGTCAAGGAAACCGAGTTGGGGAAGTGTATATAATACAGTGGGAGCAGAGAACCTTGCTCTTACAGGAAAAAGGGGAGCTGGGCCAGACTGCCCTCGCATGGCCCACATGCATCTCTTCTCCCCTTCCATCTCTGATTCTTCTTGCATAGTTTCCTCCCCGTCGTCCCTCACCTCAGTGCCATGCAAGCAACTTTCCCCATAGCCGTAAGAGCCTACCCCGTTGGGTGCGGACAATAGGGTTTGTGTCACAGTGGTCTTTGACACCACGTAACAATGCGCAGGGGAGCCCCCACCTAGGACCGTGCACTCCCACCAGAAAGGCCCTCGGAGGCTGCAGCAGTTGGGATGGCGCGCTTGTGCGATTGCCCTCTGCGGCTGGAGAAGAGCTTCATCTTGGACGGGGTGGCCGTGAGCACCATGGCCCGCGCCTATGAGCGCGTGAGGCCCAAGCTCTGGTCGGCGATTCCGCCCTACAACGCGCAGCAGGACTACCACGCCCGCCGCTACTTCCAGAGCCGCGTGGTTCCGCCCGTTTTGCGGAAAACTCATCAGGTATAGGAGCGCCCCGGAGGACCCCACTGTCTATCCCCGCAGAGGTTGGCCCTGGTGGCGGGGCTGACTTCCCAAATCCGGGCGTCTCACTCCAGCGCCCTCACCACCAAGGAGGCCCCCTACTCCCACCCCTTCAGTTTTCTTAATGAAACCTCGGAACTGGAGGAAGCGGGTGACAGGTGTTGAGCGCGAGCTAACCGAGCTCGAGCTCACAGGATCACCTTCCACCCCTGAATTTGAGAATGATCTCATTTTGGGTTTCTGCAAGCCCAGGGAACCTGGATTAAAGCCCGCCTCTCCCATACAAATCAGTTTCATTGTCTTTTTTGACGTCATGGACTCGCCCTTTGGGGTGACCACACGCTGCAAATTCTCTAAAAGCGCGAAAATTCATGTGACCTCAGTGAACAAGACAAAGAGAACTGCCTAGACGCATAGGCGAGCCGCTCTCCGTCTGGTGACGTCATAGTTAAGAGGGGCTCGCTGGCTGGGACCTTCTGTGAGCTGATGCGAAGGAACCTCCCAAACTGCGGCCCTGCCTTCTCCCCAGGCCTTTTCCCTCGTGGGTGTTGTCCCTCCCCAGCTGAATACTTCCCGGGGATCAAAGATTCTGAGGCTATTTGCTGATGGCTCCAATTTTTTTTCCAACACTTTTGGCTCCAATACTTGTGTCTATATATGTCCCAGTGGTATGGGAAGGAGAGTGAAGGGCTTAATGGGGCTGTTTCTTTGAGCACATCTTGGGGTATTTGTGGTCCCAGGTGTTTGTACGTGTGTGTGCATTGCATGTATGTGGACACACATCTGTGTGTGCCATGCTTGAGTGTGTACTTGCTGTCTACTCATGTAACTTTTATGACACAAGCAGCCAGAGTCTGGGGGAAGAAAGAAAAACTTGAGTATTTAAAAACTTGAAAATAATAGGGTGTACACACTTCTGAAACTTTCTATGTTCCGTTTTATAAGTATTCAATCATCACAACCACCATTTCTGGTAGATATTGTTTTCATTTAAATAAAGATAGAGTTTATTGAAGCTTTACTATGCCAGGCCCTTTGTTTGAACTATCTCAGTAAAATCTCAAGCAACCCTCCTTTTACTGAGGAGG